CGATCAGCTACGTGGAGGAAAAACAAACACAACACACCGACTCAAATCCACAGCGACAACGTGTCAGACTTCCCACAGCCCCGATCAGCGTTACCGTAGCAACAGCGATGGCACGCGGGTCGACTTACGTCGGGCTTCTTATCCGTGATGACTTCGGTCCATCTCCTGCTCGCGGGCGAGTCGAGGTCGACGGTGTACCAGGCGACGTCTCCTTTAAACCTGCAGACGTACAGGGTGAGAGCACGGGCTGAGGAAAGAGAACTCTCGACTGTTTCGTGCTGCGTGGAGTAATGACAGGAACACTTCCCCACACCGCCACTGGGCACGTTATTCCTCTTCTTCCACAGCAATTCACCCAGCGTTACTGAGAGGGTTATTTATTAAAGAATGCCACGTTGTGGGGTTTATTTTAAAATCCGTTTATTGTTACATTTTAGCGTTGAGAAACACGCTAGTTCCTGTTCTCAGACAGGAGATGTGTTCAGCATGTGATACTGCAGTGTGGGGATCACTGGACACACACACACACACACACACACACACAACACAAACGCTGTGCTCAACACTTACGTGGGGCCGCTGGGTGGGTACATCCCCGTCCGGCACTCCTCCGTGTACTGCACACACACACACACACACACACACACACACACACACATTATATATATATATACATATACATAAAAATATATACACAACTCCTCCGTGTACTGCACACACACACACACGCACACACACACACACATATATATATACATATATATATATACACACACATATACACACGCACATTATATATATATATATATACATAAATATATACACAACTTCTCCGTGTACTGCACACACACACACACACACACACACACACATGCATAAATATATAATAACATATATACATAAATATATACATGCATCGATAAATACCCAGACAGACAGACAGACAGACAGGCAGATTGATTGACAGATAAACAGACACACAGTGAGACAGACAGACAAAGAAATACAGACAGACAGATGGTGAGACACAGACACACACAAATAAACAGACAGACAGACCGAGAGACAGACAGACACAGACTAAGAAATACAGACAGACAGACAGAGAGAGAGAGAGACAGGTACTTTAAATACACACTGTACTACACAGTTCTCACACACACACACTCACACACACTCACACACACACACACACACACACACACACACAGAATTTAAACATGATATTAATATAGATGATCATGAATAAAGCGTTACTCACCGGAGGAACATACTGCAGAGACACGGAGCTAAACACACAGAACACACACAAACCCCGGAGGAACATCGCCATGGTTTAATCAACACACACACTCACACACACACACACACACACACACACACACACACACACCACGGACAACCGGTTCCTCCTCACGCGCCCGCAGTGTCATAAACACGGAAGTGTGTGTGTGCAGTGCACGTGACAGCGCACAGGGGGGGCGGGGTATATTTAGACAAATAAATAACCTGTACAAACAAACAAACAACTATTTCTATATTATCCATCAATAAATAAACACATAAATAAATAAACAGCTGTAATCACACACACACACACACACACACAGACAATATTATATTTATTATATTTATCACAGCAACGCGATTTCAGCTCCACAGAATAGAATACATCAATAAAAACGCGGTATAAATCATCCAGAATATCTTTTCAAATCCCGATATCTGTTTATAATCTATTCAAGAAACGAATTAAGGATAAAAGAAATATCGTAGTGTTTGTTTGTCATGAACTGATATTAGTACAGATTTGTTTACGTTGTGTGTGTGTGTGTGTGTGTTAACAGAGCTCGTTCACTGTTGTCATGTTTCCTCTGCCACCTTGTGGCCACAATCTGGATACCACAAGAGATCACAGCGCCCCCCTGCGGACTGGCTCTCACTGCAGAGATAAAGCGATGTGAGAGCGACGCGGTGAGGGTTTTACGTACACGCTTTAATCCCACTGTGAACGTCACGTGGGAGTTTTCACCGCATTGTGCGACAGGACACGCACACACACGGCAGCGCTCGACCGCTTTACGGCACACGAGAGAGCACGGCCGCGTCCCAAACCGCATTCTTACCTGCTATACAGTAGGCTAAAGTAAGATTGCGGTTTGGGAAAAAATAATGGCACCCCACAAGGCAGTGTATGCAGCCCAGTACTGTTGAATATTATGATTAATGGCATATTTGATCAGGTGGAGAAAATATAGGAAAGTTTATGTTTATGTGGATGACGGGGAACTCTGGGTTAGGGGTCAGAGTGTCGAATATTTAAGAAAGACAATGCAACATGCGATAGGGAAAGTAGAACAGTGGGCAAGTGAATTGGGATTTAAACGATCAGTTTCACAATCACAACAGTTTTCACGTCATGAAACAGTACCACTTAAATGATACGGGCTGGATCCTGAACAGGTCAAGGCTGTGAGATTATTAGGAGTGATTTCTGATGAGAAGCTGGCATTGATACAATTAAAAACAAATGTAAAAAGATTAGTAATGTTCTGAGATGGCGGTCAGGGCGAGACCGGGGAGCAAGTAGGGCATCGCTCATTAATATCTATCAGGCTCTTATGAGGTATACGCGTATACGTAGAAGCGTACACGTCTTCATCACAATCAGATCTTAAAAAGCTCGATGTGGAACAGGCACAAGCACTCCGGATCTGTACTCGAGCATTTAGATCATCAGCAGTGACTGCACTACAGGTGAAGACAGGAGAGATACCGCTGTGTATCAGAAGGGTTAAGATCATGCTGGAATATTGGGTAAATCTACAAGGACTTAGCAGGGTAATCTAGTAGGAATATCTAGTATATAGTTATTATTCTATTTTTTTTATTTTATTTATGTAGTATTCTTTTGGTATTTTTATTATATATATATATATATATATATATATATATATATATATATATATATATATATATATATATATAAATACCAAAAAGAATACTACATAATTAAAATAAAATAAATATTATATATATATATATATATATATATATATATATATATATATATATATATATATATATATATATATATATATATATATATATTCTGCTGTGTATTTTACTTGAAAAAAATGAGCAAATTAGCACGTTTTTCTCGTGTGCGCGCGTGCGTGTACGCGCATGTGTACGCGCATGTGTACGCGCATGTGTACGCGCATGTATCCGCGTATGTATCCGCGTATGTGTACGCGTATGTGTACGCGTATGTGTACGCGCATGTATCCGCGTATGTGTACGCGCGTGTACGCGCATGTGTACGCGCTAGCTGTCACCATGTTATGTTCTTACTCAGGTCCACACTCATGTTAGGTGTGTTGTGAAGATAAATCCTGTATGATGACGTTTTGCTCTCTTTAAACTCTGACAAGGTGTGTGTGTGTGTGTGTGTGTGTGTGTGTGTGTAGTCTCATTACCATGTTCAGTAAGTGTATTATTTTATTCAGGATCACTGTATTAGGTTGTTGTGGTGTAGGACCTGTTTAATGATTGCCGTGGGGTTTGTGTGTTCCTTTCCTCCATATATATATTTTATATTTAATATATTGTATATTTTTTCTTCTGCGCCAGGTGATAAATGTGCATCAATATAATCTAAATTAAATTAAAACACTAATTGTTATTAATAATATAGTTGAATGTAATAGAATAATATTTGTTATTGATATCTTGTGTGTTTTATGAACATGTTTTGAGTCTCGTGTTGATGGAGAGTCGGCGTTGAGGTTGACTGAGAGAGGTGTGTCGTGAGGATAAACACTGTATGAAGACGTTTTGCTCTTTTTTTTTGACGTTGAGCTTGTCTGCGGGACGAATAAACCTGAGTTTAACAACATACGCTGGTGTGTGTGTGTGTGTGTGTGTGTGTACCTGAACACAAGGTAGTGTATCCGGGTCAGGAAGGACAGAACGGTTATACTGCTTCTGAACAAAGTACACTGGGATAAGAAGGGAACGGTGGAGAGGATCAGCGGACGAGGTGAGAGGACAAATGCGTAAAGGAAATAAATCCTGGTGAAATAAATAGCGAGGGAATAATGTGTAGCTACGAAAGATAAAACGGGAAGTTTTTTTAATTCCTAGTGTTAACAAAACCCACCCGGATATTTGGATGTGCTCTACAGTAGGTCTGTCTAACTTCACGTTAACTCGGCGTTCACGCGTTAACAAAACCGACTCTGTTGTAGAAAGTTAATGATTTGTTTTTATGACCTGCAGCCATGATCCTGATCTGCATCGCATCGCTTCTGGCCTGTTCAGCAGCAGGTAGGTTCAGCAGGTACAGTATGTAGTGGTATTACAGTACTCAGTAACAGATAGATACTCTCTGAAACTGTAAGTCACGTCGAGTAAAGTCGTCTGTAATGACATGTTGAGATGGTTCCTGTCTCTGTTTTCCACTCTATCAGAGTTCTCCGTAGTCACCCCCAACACTTCAGTCTCGGGACTGTTGGGTTCTTCAGTCGTCCTGCCCTGTGGTCTTTCTCCATCTTTAAATGCCAGAACTTTGGAAGTTCGCTGGTACAAGAATGGTGACATTTATAACCCGGTTCTGCTCTACCAAGACCAGAAAGTCCAGGAGAACGTTAGAACGGAGTACAGGGACAGAGTGTCTCTGATTGGGGAACTGGACAAAGGGAACGTCTCTCTGAAACTGGACAACCTGACAACAGTCGACGGTGGAGAATATACGTGCTTTGTAAAGAGCATCAGTTGGTATGATAAGCACAGTATGAACCTGCTTGTAAAAGGTACGACAAAATCCAACAACATAGACCACTACTAGCGATTAGCATGTACCTCTTTTAGCACTAACTGGTATTTAACTGCATGTTTCTCAACATTTCTTCTGATTGACTGAATAACAGATGTAGTAATGGTAAGGAAAAATGATAGACGTATGCATGTGTGTATAGACGATCTTCTCAGATAGTATCTTGTGTAGGGTTTAGTGGTTAGCATGTTCGCCTCACACCTCCACGGTCGGGGGTTCGATTCCCTGTGTGTGTGGAGTTTGCATGTTCTCCCTCGTGCTGCGGGGTTTCCTCCAGGTACTCCGGTTTCCTCCCCCAGTCCAAAGACATGCATGGTAGGCTGATTGATGGGTCTAAAGTGTCCGTAGTGTATGATTGGGTGGGTTATTGTTTAGCACCCCGTCCAGGATGTACCTTGTGCCCTATGCTCCCTGGGATAGGCTCCAGGTTCTCCCTGACCCTGTAGGATAAGCGGTATAGAAAATGGATTGATGGATGGAGTATCTTGTGTATTTTCGTTGTCTTCTCTGGGTTCTTTATTCAACAATCGGTATGTTCACCACAGCACTAGGTTCTACACCCCTCCTCACGTATGATGAAGCTGGAGATACGGTGAACGTTACCTGTACATCAGATGGATGGTCGCCCAAACCCACACTCACCTGGAGAGACAACGAAGGACGAGAACTCCCAGACAGTCACGCTTACTACAGGACTGGTGTGTGATTCAACTGAATTAATTTTATTTGTTTTTCACTTTTTAGAATAGACATGGTCCCAAAGAACCTTTCCAGAAATCTGGATCTAGATCTAGATGAAGCCAGAGGTGATGGTGGGGAAGAAAAACTCCTTGAACATTGAGGAATCAAAAGGGAACTGTCTCATGGGTGACACCAGATCTAGACTAAAATGAAGAGCTAATCCAGGACAATATGCAGGGATTTCTAAATAATTTGGAACATGCATGTATAATGGACTGGCCATTAGAGATACAACTACACAAGGACCAGGAAATGCAAGTCCAGTATTGTGATGGCTCGTGTTTGTGCGCTTTAAGTGTGTATTACATTCGTAGGTAGTCAAGTAAGGTGATGATTACCATGGTCTTGATGAGAAAGGAAAACCACATGACCACGAGAGGTAGAGGCTATTCATAATGTAACTTATTCCTCAGTAGTTAAATGCTCTGGGTTAATGATCAGAAGGTCATGACTTCAAGCCCCAGCACTGCCAAGCTACCACTGTTGGGCCCTTGAGCAAGGCCCTTAACCCTCAATAGCTCAGTTGTATAAACAAGTTTTAAAACGCCAATAAAGAAAATTTATTTAAAAAAAAATTAAGCTTTAGAGCTATAACTCACTATAACTCTTCCATTACATATAAGATGGTCCAAAAACTGGTATTGCCATGCACTATACCATTGTATATCATCTCCATAATTATAATGATTCAATTTGACCTAATAGCAGCATATAGAAGAAAAACAAAAGTGGTCCAAGCATGACGCCCTGTGGCACACCATGCAGAATATCACATCCTTCAGAGATACGGTCATTAATGTTTCACTTCATATGCATGATGTCAATTTAGTAAAGGTCCAGAGAGACCAGTCCAGGTTCTCAGACTGTTTCTAAGATCCTGTTGAATTTGTTAGAAATTTTACCAACAAACGTCATCAAGCCTGTAGATTACAGTGGGTGATGTGTTAATACTAATTCCTCGTTCTCTCTCTTTCAGGCTCTGAAGGGTTGATGAATGTGAGCTCATGGCTGCTGATCTCTTTGTCTGACCTGGAGTGGATCTCCTGTACTGTGGGTTTAAACCATCAGGAAGTAAGAGAGAATAGATTTGTACCACACAAAGGTAAGTTATCTGTCCCTGTACACTCTCAGAAATAAACGTAGTCACTGGGGTGGGATCATCAAACGAGATTCCGAGCAGAAATCCAACGTCCTACTCACTCGCTAAGCTAACACTGCCCTGTGCTTATCTTCTGGCAGGATTCTCGAGAAAAGCGTTCATCTTGACTCTAGTGCTTTCATTAACGGTCCTCATCGCCTTCACCGTTCTTCTGATTTTATTCAGGAAAGGTATTAATGAAATATTTCACATTTCTACTGATCTGAAAATACAGACATGACTGTGTCTCACATTAATATTTAATCAAAGGGGGAAACAAACACATTTTGTTGTCTTTTATTTAAACAGTTTTACTCCGGAACTGTTCGTCTCATAAAGATGAAAAAGCAGCAGGTAGTTTATTCTTCTCCACCGTACTCATTTAGACAACAACGCATCGGAATAACGCGTCTTAGTCATCTCTGTTTTCTTCTGTTTCTACCATGCAGCTGATTCTCCTGAATCCTCACCGGCAGAGAAGGTTCCTCTTAAGGCTCCTGAGAACACTACGAAGAACACTACAGAAAACACTACAGAGAACGCTGCAGAGAACACAACTCGAGGTAGGTTTGTTTGATCACTAAGCCACACCTCCATTTACTTCAATCATTACATACATTATAGTGATAATTACATACAATTATAACACTTAAATAGACTCACTGTAAAAAATATATAAATAAAAACGTACCTTCCTTATTGTTTACTCATTCTGGTTTTTAAGATCATAAATTTATTTCTATTTTGAATTTCCACATAAACAAAAACCCCAGAACACAACAGAATAATGTAAAAGTATACCAGTATTCTGTATCATTTATTCAATTTGTAATAAAGATAATGCTCCATGTTGTGTGTCTCTTCACAGGGATCAGTTCTACTGAAGAACCGTCTTTGAAAGACAGATATAAAGGTACATCAACCCTCGGTCTCTTTCCTGTTTGATCTCTGTTGTACGTCTCACCATGTAAATAACATTTAAACGGATCTGTCTTTAATCAACAGTGAGTCTCACACTGGATCCATCAACAGCTCACAGCTCTATAAAAGTGTCCGCGGATCGGAAAAGTGTTCACTTTATAAAACCAAACACTGATTGTGAATCTAAATTTCCTCACGTGGTGAGTAAAGAGGAGCTCGGCTCGGGGCAGCACTACTGGGAAGTGCTCATATGGGATAAAACATCATCTGCGAAGCGGAAGTCATCGTGGTGTGTAGGAGTGACTCAGAAACCCCACTCGGAGAACGTCCTCAGAGCTCTTTGTTATGAAGAAGGAACGGGGTTATATCCTAATACTGATGAGATCTATAAAATACCCATCGAATACACCATGAAGAGATTAGGGCTGTATTTAAACTGTGAGAGGAACTCTCTTTCCTTTTACAATGCAGATAAAACCTCTCATAATCATCTCTACACCTTTAATAACATACCACACGCCACGTATTTTGCGCTGTTCAGTCCAGGAGTGAAAGATACACATCCTGTAAAAATTGTAAATATAAAAACTCAAGAATCAGCTAAAAAAAAAAAAAAGTGCATTAAGGCCGGAGGTTTGTTTTCATGTTCAGAAGGTTGAACTTCCTGTATCTATAATAAATCTCAGATGATGCAAATGACGTGTGTGTTGTTGTAGTTCATCAGTTCAGTTTCAGTGTGAAATCCGGTGAATACTGTAGTTTACTGTATATTTGTTAGTTATGACTTTGTGCTTTTGATGTTTTTGTGTATTGTTTTATTAAATTCAGTTTATATATAAAACTCTCTCCTGTCTCATTTCACTATCTACGTTTCCGTCCACGCATAAACCGACGCTGGATAGAGACACCACATGTGAATAAAATCTCTAATTCGTCTACATCTATGAGGTGGATACGGATTTGAATTTGATAATACAACATGCGCATAAACTACAATGGAAATACGTTTACAATAAATTCCTTGATGCACGGCAAAAAAACAAAGTCCTGTGACTTTGCCTCAACCAATCATGATCATGTGGATAATTGGCTCAGAAGATTTAAAATGGTGGCGAGCGAGGGGTATTGAATATTCGAATAGATGACTTCGTGCTCCTGGAGGTGACGATTTTGTTTACGGTTCAGAAACCGTTCTTTATTCACAAACGTTTTATGCGATATTCCAATATTTTGCACAAAGTTAAATTCTCAGCATGGATGGAAACATGGGTTCATATTTCACCGTACATTCACTGAAACGGAAACGGATTGGGTTTTAATGAGCGACACATCGTTAACGTCACTGCGTTGTTTAACCAGTTGACTGTATAGTACACTGTATAGTAGATTATATAGTACACTGTATAGTACACTCATAATGGTGGTCACACTCTTGACCTCATACTAACATACGGACTAAGTATAGAAAATATTGAAATTTTTCCGAGGTCTGAAGTTATCTCAGACCACTATCTTATCTCATTCATAATCCGTATGGATTATAATATCTCCACCTTGCCCCGCTACCGCGTAAAACGCACATTCACATCAGCTACTGCACCGAGCTTCATAAATAACCTACCAGAGACATCAGTTAGATTTGGATCAGCGCCTGATCCAGTAGAACTCGATCAGGCAACTGAAAGTTTGGAGTCAACACTCCGCTGCACACTAGATAGAGTGGCTCCACTCAAAAGAAAAATAATTATAGAAAAAAAATTAGCACCCTGGTATAATGATCTAACGCGATCATTAAAACAGAAATCTAGACAATTAGAACGTAAATGGTGCCAAACCAAGCTGGTGATATTTCAGACAGCATGGAAGGAGAGCCTCCTGAAATATAGGAAATCTCTTGTAGATGCTAAAAAGATCTACTTCTCCACCTTAATAGGAGACAACCAAAACAATTCCAGATTCCTCTTCAACACGGTAGCAAAACTAACCAGGAATAAAACCACTACAGAGGAAAACACTCAATCATTTCATAGCAGTGAGGATTTTATGAAATTTTTCATTTATAAAATTGAAAATATTAGATGTGAGATACAGGCCATTAAATTACAACCGGTCAGTAATATAACAAACCCATTAGATGACAATGTGGCAATACCGGATCAATGTTTAGAGTGTTTTGCTCCGCTTATAGAGACCGAACTAGCTACACTAATCTCATCGGCCAACTCATCAACCTGCATACTAGATCCCATACCTACATGTTTGTTTAAACAGATTTGTCCAGGAGTAATTAAGTCACTTTTAAATATAGTAAATTCCTCCCTAACCACTGGCTATGTACCAAAATCTCTTAAATTAGCAGTTATTAAACCATTGATAAAAAAACCTGACCTTGACCCGTCTCAATTGTCCAGCTATAGACCAATATCAAATCTCCCC